CATGGTGGGCCAGACATGGTGTCTCATGCCTATAATCCCAAAGGTCTGGAAGGCCAAGGCAGGACAATTGCCTTAGGTCAGGAGTTTAAGACCAGCCTGGGAAACATAGAGAGACCCTGTCTCTACAAAAACATAAAATAAAAAATTAGTTGAGAATGATGATATGTGCCTGTTGTCCTAGCTACTTGGGAGGCTGAGGTGGAGGATTCACTTGAGCCCAGGAGCTCAATATTACAGTGAGATATGATTATGCCACTGCACTCGAAGCTGGGCAACAGAGACAGACTTTATCTCTAAAAAAAATACTCAAAATGTTTTAAAAATTAATGAAGAAAAAGAAAAGATACCAATACACACCTATTAGAATGGCCAAAATCCAAAACACTGATGGCACCAAATGCTGGTGAGGATGTAGAACAACAGGAAATCTTATTCATTGCTAGTGGGGATGGAAAATGATACAGCCACTTTGGAATACAGTTTGGCAGTTTTCTATAAAACAAAATATACTTTCACCATATGATCCAGCTGTTGCACTCCTTGATATTTACCCAAATGAATTGAAAACCTCTGTCCACACAAAAACCTGCATATGCATGTTTACAACAGCTTTGTTCATAATTGCCAAAACTTGGAAGCAAGATGTCCTTCAGGAAGTGAATGGACAAATAAATTGAGGTACAAACAGACAATGGACTGTTATTCAATGCTAAAAAGAAATAAACTATGAAGCTGCAAAAAGATATGGAGAAATTTTAAATGCACATTACTAAAAGAAGCCAATCTGAAAAGGCTACAGGCTGTATGACTCCAACTATATGACATTCTGGAAAAGGCAAAACCAAGGAGCTAATTAAAAGGTTAGTGATTTCCAGAGCTTGAGGGAAAAGTGGAATTAATAGAGCACAGAAGAGTTTTAGGCAGTGAAACTATTCTATCTACTATAATCATGGGTTAGGGTTAGAATTAAGGTTAGGGTTAGCGTTAGTATGTATTATTATACAGCTGTCAAAATCCACAGAATGTACACCAAGAGTGAGCCCTAATGTAAACTATGGACTTCAGGTGATGATGTGTCCATGTCAGTTTATCAATTGTAACAAATTTCACCACAATGTACTAATGCACAGCATGCCAGTAGTGGGAAAGATTGTATGAGGGATGTGGGGACAGGGAGTATATGGGAACTCTCTGTACTTTTTGCCCAATTTTACTGTGAATCTAAAACTACTCTAAAAAATAAAGCCTATTAAAGAAAACGAAAGAGAAGAAGAAGAGGAAGAATCTCAAATCAGTAACCTAAACTTTAACAATTTTTTTCCTTAGGTCTTTCATGTTAGTAAAGAAATTTTTTTTAAAAAAAGCAAACAAAACCAAAAGCAAGCAGGGGAAAAGAAATAATAAAGACTAGAGTAGAGATAAATGAAACAGAGAATAGAAAACAATTCAGAAAATCCATGAAACTAAGTTAATTCTTTAAAAATACCAACAAAATTGACAGCTTTTAGCTGAACTAACTAAAATTAAAAGTGAGAAGATTCAGATTACTAAATACAGAAATAAAATATGGGGCATCACAACTGAACTTACAGTAATAAAAGAATTATAAGGGAATATTATGAAATATTGTAAGCCAACAAATTAGATAACCCAGATGAAATGGGCCAACTTCCAGAAAAACACAAATACCTTAACTGACTTGAACAAACACAAAATCTTAATAGACCTATAACAAACACAGACATTGAATTATTAAGTAAAAAACTTTCTATGAAACAAGCAAAGCCCAGACCCAGGTGGTTTTACTGGCGAATTCTACCAAATATTTAAAGAAGAATTAACACTTATCTTTTCAAACTCTTCCAAAAATATCAGAAAAGAGAACATGTGCCAATTCGTTCTATGAGATCAATATTACCCTGATACCAAAATTAGACTAAGATAATCAAAAGCATCACAAGAAAAAAAAATCTACAGGTCAACATCCCTTATGAATATATATATGTGAAATTCCATAACAAAATACTGGCAACATATCAAAAGGATTGTAGACCATGACCAAATGGGATTTATTCCAAGAATGCAAATTGGGTTTAACCTAGGAAAATTGATCAATGTAATGCAACATGTTAATAGAATAAAGAATACAAACTAATGATTATCTCAAAGACAAAAAAAAAGCATTTGACAAAAACCCAACACCTTTCACATTGATAACACTCAGCAAACTAGAAATAAAAGGAAACTTTATCAACCTGATAAAGTTGTTAGCAGTGAAAAACCCACAGCTAACATTATACTTAATGGTGGATGACTGAGTGCTTTCTCCTTAAGATTAGGAATAAGACAAAGATGTCTGTTCTTGCGATTTCTATTCAACATTGTACTCAAGGTTCCATCCAGGGCAATTAAGCAAGAAAATGAAATTAATGGCTTCTAGATTGAAAAGAAAGTAATTATTTGCAGGTGACATGACGTTGTATGTAGAAAATCCTAAGAAATCTAAAATATTAAAATTAGGGCCAGGCATGGTGGCTCATGCCTGTAATCCCAGCACTTTGGGAGGCTGAGATGGGTGGATTCCTTGAGTTCAGGAGTTCAAGACCAGCCTGGGCAATATGGCAAAACCCTGTCTCTATCAAAAATACAAAAAATTAGCCAGGCATTGTAGCACACACCTGCAGTCCCAGCTACTCAGGAGGCTGAGGTAGGAGAATCGCTTCAGCCTGGTAGGCAGAGGTAGCAGTGAGCTGAGATTATGCGACTGCACTCCAACCTGGGTGACAGAGGGAGACCCTGTTAAAAAAAAAAAAAAAAAAAAAAAGCTAACGATTTCAACAAGGTTTCAGGAAACAAAAACAATATACAAAAATTAGTTGTACTTCTATACACCAGCAGTGAATAATCCAAAAATTAAAATAGAAAAACAATAAATTTAACAAAAGAAAACTTGTACACTGGAAACTACAAAACAAAAATGATTGAAAGAAATTATATACAGATAAGACCTAAATAAATGAAAAGATGTCCCATGTTCATACATTGGAAGACATGATATTATTAAAATGGCAATACCCTCCAAACTGATCTACAGATTCAATACAATCCCTATCAGAATCCCAGCTGCCATTATTGCAGAAATGGACAAGCTGATTCAAAAATTCATGGGCAAAAATAAGATTGCATGTCAAGCCTGGGGAACACCCCAAGCCCAGTGTTTAATGGCCCAACAAAGAAGAGCCAACAAACAAGTCTGAGACGGAGGGGCCACATAGATGAAAGGGACACCAGGAGAGAGTGGTGTCATGGAACCCAACAGAACAGAGGGTCTCAAGGAGGTCATCAGGCGCTACTGCTGCTGGGAGGTCAAGTAAGATAAGGACAGAAATTTGTCCACTGGATTAGAGATAGAAAAGTCATGAATAACCTCAGCAGAAGTAGCTTATGTAACATGAAGAGGCTGGAATGCAGACTGGAATGGATTAAAGAGGGAGAGAGAGGTAAAAAATGAGACTGCAAATATACTTTCTTCAAAGACTTTGGTAGTGAAAAGGAGGAAAACACTAAAGCAGAGGGGATGGTGGGCTGAGTAAATGTGTGTGTCCATCTGCTTACTTGCATTTAAGAAGGAAAAGATCTCAGTTTGAGTGTAAGTGGAGGAGGAGTGATAAAATATACAAGAAGGAGAAGGAGTTATTGATGGCTCTTTATCCTCAGACGAAGCGAGTAGGAGAAAGATTGGAAGAGGAGGGAAATGTTTCTCTACTGTAACAGGAGGGGAGATAAGGACAGGGAAGATAAGGATAGGTTTCACTCCGAGAAGCTGAGAGGTTCCTACTGATGGCATGATTTTTCTCTGAGAAATAGGAATTTTGAGCTGTTTACTAGGAGTTAGTGTGAGGATTGAGGTGCTGGAGGTTTGAAAAAGATAAGATCTTCAAATGGCCAGAGGAGAGCATGAGATCTCTGCCTGTCAGGCATTGCTGTAACCCATGTGAGGGTTGTGGTCATGATTCAAGATGGCAGCCACCTACTCTATTGCACAGGCAGGAGTTGGGGTGGAGAGTGGGAAGATAGTAGAGTTCAGGGTTAGCCAGGGGAATGTGATGGAAGGTCAGAGGGTGAGAAATTCACTGCCAGTGAAGGATCATGGAGGCTAAGCTACATTCCAAGGAAAGTGAAGAAAAGAAAGTGATAAGAGAGAAAGGAGATGGCAAGAAAGGAAAGCAACCAAGAGGTCGCTCATTGAAAAGGAGTTACAGTGGGAGAAGTTGAACAGGCAGAGTAAGGAGGCAAGCCTAGCCTTGTGCTGGGATTTTCGATATCCATATGAGGCGCTCTACCCACCCCTAAAACCTACCCAAGGAGAACCACCAGAGTCCAGTAAAAATGTTTTTGAGTAGGACTCAGGAATCCTGGTTCTACCTCAAACTTCACACCCCTGTAGGAAGACACCAATCTTCAGTGTACTCTTTATAACATTAGCATAGAACTTTAGAATCTCAAACCCAAACACCTTCATATCCATTAATTCCTTGGGCCTTCCAAAAAAAAAAAAAAAAAAAGCTGTGCAAAAATAGCAGAGCAGGGACAATTATTTCTGTTTTCCATATATGAAGAAATGGGCTGGGGAAGAACTTTCCCTGGAGCCAGACACACACAGGTTCGAATCTTGCCTCTATCAGTTACAAATTGAAAACTATAGGTAGGTTTCTTTATCAAGTTTCAGTTTGATTTACTCATTAATAACATGGATTCACCATGTCTACTGCACAAGTTGGCTACAAAGTCAAAGGAGATCATGCATGCTATGTACTTAGGACATGTATGCTATGTACTTAGGATCATGTATGCTATATACTTAGGATCATGTATGCTATGTGCTTAGTGCCTAAGTTGTCCTAAGAGGCCCAGGGACATTAACAACTTGCCAAATTCACATAGTTAGCAATGGGAGAACAGGACACGACTCAGTGAGGGGGTGACCCAGCAACACCTACCTCTTCCGTATCAGGTAAGCCAGGGCCTGATTAATTCTAGCTCACTGATGGGACCACCTATGAGCTGAGGCTCCATGGTCCCATCAGACTTCACCTACAAAACACAAATTCAAAGACAAAATTATTAAGAAATTCAAGATGGTGTCCATAGAGCATTAACCCTCAATCTAGAAGGGTCCTCCTCACACCCCTGCCAATTGCAGGTCCTTCTGAGCACAGGGCCCTGTGCAGCTGCCCTGGTTGTACACCAATGAAACTGACACTCTTCTCACATCTACTTTCTCAGTAAGTGACAGCAGCTTCTACTCTGAATCCAATCTAGAAGCCTCCTTGGACTCCACTGAGTAACACAGGGTCTACTTGAAACATCTCCCAAAAGTCACTGCTCTGACCCAGTTGTTCATCCTCCCACCCAGACGCCCTGCCTCCTGCCTCTCCCTATCCAGCCCCCTCAGAGATCTGTCTCTTTTTTTTTTTGGAGATGGAGTCCTGCTCTGTCGCCCAGGCTGGAGTCCAGTGGCACGATCTCGGCTCACTGCAACCTCCTTCAGGGACTTTTCTAAAGCAATGCAGAGACCACATCACTGATGTCCTCAAAAACTTTTATGGGCTCATCACTGCCCTGGGGAAATAGGCTTCAACATCTTATAATGGCATCCAAGACCTACCACCATCGTGATATTTTCTAGCTTTACCCTCAAACTTTCTCTCTACCTGAGTAGCCTTTATGCCAACATCACTACACTAACTGCATGCTGTGATTTCACATCTGCCCTACCAGCCATACACACCCCTGCCTCCACCCTCACTTCCGTGTACTACTCATATAAGGTTCACCTTTTCCTCCCTGCCTTGGCAATCACTCATTCCTCTGCCTTCAGCTGTACCTGACTTGCCCCTCTTTTGTTGCTATTTCATTCATTTATTTACTACATACTTACTAAGCACCTACTGTATGCTAGATCCTGCTCTGGACACTGGGATATGACTAGAAAATGGGGCCTGGCATGGTGGTTCATGCCTGTAATCCTAACACTTTGGGAGACTGAGGTGGGTGGACCCCTGAAGTCAGAACTTAAAGGCCAGCCTGACCAATGTGGCAAAACCTCGTCTCTACTAAAATTACAAAAATTAGTTGGGTGTGGTGGCACATGCCTGTAATCCCAGCTACTCAGGAAGCTGAGGCAGGAGAATCACTTGAACCCAGGGGGCGGTGTTGCAGGGAGCCGAGATCGCAGCACTGCACTCCAGCCCGGGCGAAAGAGCAAGACTCCATCTCAAACAAAAAGAAAGAAAATGGGCAAAATTCCTTTCTAAAGGAGCTTAAGTTCTAGTTGGGAAGGAGGACGAGAAGCCAAATAAATAAGTAAAATATATTGTGAGTGACATGAGCTATAGAAAAAGTAAAGCAGAAAGGAGCAGGGAGCCTGGAGGTGGATGTGCAATTTTAAGTGGAAAGATGAGGCAAAAGGTCCCCAAGGTGACTTCCTTCAGAGCAAAGACCTTATACAAGTGGAGAAACAAACCATGAGATATCAGCTCCAGAAGATTGTTCCGGGCAGAAGCAGCAGCAGAAGCAGCAGGTGCAGAGGCCTTAGGTGGAACTGTGCCTCGGGTGTGTGAGGAACAGAGAGAAGGCCAGTGAGGATGGAGCTAAAAGAGATTAGAGATGAGGACAGAGATGATGAGGATCCAAGTCCCCAGGGCCCTGTAGACCAGGAAAAGGACCTTGACTTGTACTCTGAGTCGTGTGGGAAAATGTTGGAGAATGTTAATCAAAAAAGATTTTTAAAAAACTATTGTTTGTTTCTATGTCTATCCCCAAGTAGCCTGTGCATTTCTGGGGCCTGGGTTTTCTAGACCTCTGCCTGGCCCACAGGCCTGGCACATAGTGGGTGATCAGTGGGTGCTTATGGGTGTTTGTTGAATCAACAGGTGAGTAAGCTCAAGGCCATGGGTTTGTGTCTTCCACAGGTTGGCCGGCTGTGGCCTCACAGCTGAGGGCTGCAAGGACCTTGCCTCTGGGCTGAGAACCAACCAGACCCTGACAGAGGTGGAGCTGAGCTTCAATGTGCTCACAGATGCTGGAGCCAAACATCTTTGCCAGGGACTGAGACGGCCAAGCTGCAAGCTACAGCGACTGCAGTAATTGCTCCTGGTGTGCAGGGGAGGTGGGGGGAGCTGCCTGCCACCATGAGGCAGATGGAGGGGACAGGCAGAGAGAAGGTGAGACCTGCTTTGTGGGAGTGGAAGGAGCCTACTGGATCTCAGCCAGGCAGTAGAGGCTCAGGAGGAAGCTCATCCACCCCTGGACAGAGGGAGGGGGCCTCCAGGCTCCAAATAGCACAAGAGAAACCAAGTTGAATCAAGGGGCATGGATGCAAGGTGGGGACAAGGGGCAGAATTTGTGGCCATTTTCACAGACTACCACAAAGGATGATGGTGATAGTGCCAACTTCATAGAGCTATGAGGACTGCAGCAGTGTTTTTCTATTCCTCTCCTGTTCCCACCAACTGTGATCTACCGAATAACAGGTCCTCTCACTTGGCATGAGACTCTGCCATGGAAAGCTGAAATCACTGGTATCCACTTAATTCGATTTTCTGTCTCATTCGAAAGGGCAGAGCCATGCCCCCTACCATGTAGAAACAAGGCCAGGCAATGTGGTTTGTGCCTGTAATCCCAGCATTTTGGGTGGTCTGGGTGGGCAGATTTGAGGTCAGTTCGAGAACAGCCTGGCCAACATGGTGAAACCCTATCTCTACTAAAAATATAAAAATTAGCTGGGCATGGTGGTGGGCACCTAGAATCCCAGCTACTGAGGGAGGCTAAGGCAGGACAATCGTTTGAACCCAGAAGGTGGAGGTTGCAGTGAGCCAAGATCACACCATTGTCTGGGTAGCAGAGCAAGACTCCTCAAAAAGGAAGGAAAGGGGAAGGGAGGGGAGAGGAGGGGAGGGGAGCAAGGTTGGCTGGTCGCGGTGGTTCATGCCTGTAATTTCAGCACTTCAGGAGGCCAAGGCAGGTCAATCACCTGAGGCCAGAAGTTCAAGATCAGCTTGGCCAACATGGTGAAACCACATCTGTATTAAAAATACAAAAATTAGCCAGGCATAGTGGTGCACACCTGTAATCCCAGCTACTCAGGAGGCTAAGGCAGGAGAATCACTTGAACCCGGGAGGTGGGGTTGCAATGAACTGAGATTACGCTATTGTAGTCCAGCCCAGGCCACAGAGTCAGACTTCTCAAAAAAAAGAAACAACAATTAGACCCAGGTATACAAGTGGGACATTGAGTAAGTCACTCATCGATGTGGACAGAGTGAGGGGATAGGATCAGTGGGAATCACACAGGATTGAGAAAGGGTGGGTGCCAGCATCCTGAGGGGTTCTGTAGCTGCAAGAGGAAAGTGAAAATCTCTCAGGTTACTGCAAGTCAGGAAAGTTTGTATCTTCTCAGCATGTCACCCCAAACCTCTAAAAGGCCACACATGCTAGGAAGGTAGATCAGAAGAGCAAGCCCTCAGGACAATGACCTGGGCTGGTATGTACCTTTCCTGTAGGCTGGTCAGTTGTGGCCTCACGTTTGGCTGCTGCCGAGCCCTGGCCTCTGTGCTTAGCGCCAGCCCCAGCCTGAAGGAGCTAGACCTGCAGCAGAACGACCTGGATGATGTCGGCGTGCAGCTGCTCTGTAAGGGACTCAGGCATCCTACCTGCAAACTCACACGCCTGGGGTAAGTTCCTGTGGGTCCCTTCTAGGCAAAGGGCAGAAAGACAGATGCGGGAGCTGTCGAAGAGGAAAGGAAAAGGAACTGATAAATTCATAGTCAGCACACATTTCTTACCAACTCTACCACTTACACACTGTGTGACTTGGACAAGTCATCAAATTCTCTGTGACTCTTCCTTCATCTGTGAAATGGGAATATCATACCCACCTCATGGATTGTAATATATGTAAAAACAAGGACAGGAAAGATATGGCGGCTCACACCTATAATCCCAGCACTTTGGGAGGCAAAGGTGGGTGGATCAAGGAGGGGTCAGGAATTTGAGACCAGCCTGGCCAACTTGGTGAAACTCATTTCTACTAAAAATACAAAAATTAGCTGGGCACGGTGGTGGGCACTAGTAATCCCAGCTACTCCGGACGCTGACGCAGGAAAATCACTTGAACCCAGAGGTCGAGGTTTCAGTGAGCCAAGATGGCGCCACTGCACTCCAGACTGGGTGACAGAGTGAGACTCAGTCTCAAAAATAAATTAATTAATTAGTAATTAAATAAAATAAAAACAAGGACATTACTGGGAAGAGTCGGGCATGATCAAATGATAACTGTTACTGAGGCTACATGTTATAGGTGACTCCCAGATTCCCTTTACTCCAGGGCAGTGCTTCATTCATTTAGTTACTCATTCATTCATTCACTGAGTGCCTCCAATGTGCAAGCACCAGGCTGGGCCCTGGGGCACAATAGTGACCAAACAGACATGGGCCCTGCCCTCCTGAAGCTTACACTCTAGTGAGGAACAGATGAACATTGGTCACCTGTAAATGCACAAGTATATATGTATGAGCTCTGTGGAGTGCTATGAAAGGAAAGAACAGGGTATTAGGAGAATGTGATATTGGGGGAGGATGGAATTGGATCAAAGGTCCAGGGACAACTTCCCTGAGAAAGTGACATCAGGCTGAGGTCTAAAGGAGGAAGAGGTATCCAGGCCAAGTTGGGGAGAGTAGTCCAGGCAAAAAGATGGTGTAGGGAAAGGCCTGGAACAAAGAGGCACTTGACCCTGAGAGATGAAGGACACTGAGAGGCTGGAGTGGAGCAAGCACCCCTCATTTCTATCTGGTGGGCCCCAGAGATTCTTGCCCTTCCCCGAGCAGCCACCCCCACGCTATCTCTAGGCCACTTCTGCTCCCCTCTACTCCCTGGGAACAAGCTTATGGGCCACTTCTGTCTTAACACTTAACTATGGCTCCTGCTAGGGCCCCTGCTCCATGCTCAAGGAGCAGACAG